TGTCTCCTCCATGTTTTGTGTCCTTCGTCTCTTAATTGTGTCACATGGTGTGTGTCATCACAGGTATGGGATGTCTCACTTGGGGTCAACCTGGAACTGCTCTGCCCTGCTACGTGGATCAATGGGTAGATAGAATATTGCTCAGTCTCACATCAACATGTCAGTTCCCTTAGACAGTTGAGCCTATGGCTGTTCAGTCTGTGGGCAGGATTATCTTGCGATGCCCCGCTTGGGTGTATAGAGTCCCAGCTAGGTAGAGTAGCAAACAGTGTCTATGGTATGGGCATTTGTCAGGGGTCTTTGGGCTTATAAAATGTATAGGCTCAGTTTGGGGGTAAATCCAAGGTCACAGAAGGCACACTTCAGAGTCCCTTCCCTTTTGTCTTACAGCCACCCAAAGGAGACTCAGGTTCCTGGGGTGAAAGATGGCATCGGTTTTCCCGGAACTTCCGGCGACTGGGGAGAGATCGTCCGAGCGATCATCGATGGAAACTTCTGAGAGCCACGGGGAGTCCCTGCCCAGTGACTTCTGGACTGCATCGTGTAGCATCATATATGTTTATTTAGTGTTGCGGGTTGCTTCTTAGGCATAGTTATTGTATTTTACAACTTGAATAGGAAAAGTCCAGCCGCCGTTTATGTTGTCATTTGTATTGCCTTGTACCACTCTGTATCATACACTTGTATAGTTGTAGTCGTATCGGTCCGTATCTGAACCTCACGGCGTCACATTCCATGTGTCAGGAATTGTATATCGTTGCGCCTTTGTAGCACTTTTTATGTCATGTCACTTGTATTGCCATGTAATGTTCTGTCTGGTATACTTCTATATTTGCAATTGTATTGCTCTGTATGTGAATGTCATAGTGTTGTATTGCTGTGCATCAGTTAGGAATTGTATAGCTTTGTACCTTACTTTGTTTTACTTTTGATATTCTGTCATTGATACTGTCTTGTAATGCTGTGAGGGGTGTACTCGGGCATGAGCGGCATGCGTGTTTTGTCAGGCTTGGCAATTTGTTTCTTTTTGGAGTTTTTTT